TGCATCCCCCTTCTGTTCTGAAATGTGATTTGTCCTTTTCATATGTGTTCACTTTTTTTTAAATTGTATCCTTTGGTATATATGGCTGTGACTATTTTCTTCCACTATTTGATCTGAGGAAGTGGCTCTGGCCCACGAAAGCTCATCATCTAATAGACCATCTTGTTAGTCTTTAAAGTGCTACATAGTCCTGTATTTTGTAAATGGCACTCATCACAGTAAGTTTGTTTATAGTCTTTCGCTCTGTACTTTGGCTAGTGGGTTTTATTACTTCTGCTAATCGTTTCATCAACTCTAAGAAGCAAGACTACTTAAAGGTCTTTTTTTCCCCGGGGTCCTCATCCAATCCTGCCATTTGATTTTTATGGCCAGACCCTGGAGCCTGTACAGAGCCCTGTTGACTTTAGTGGGATCCCATATGGGTAGATCATAACACCATACTACAGGAGTGGGCAAGATCTCCCTCGTGGGCTGGATGGGACCCACCAAGCCACAGGATCCAGCCTGCTGGGACCCTGCTGGGACCCTCAAGAATGCAGCAGCAGCTGTTTTAAGTGCAGGGCTGTTCCACGTGGCCCTCTGCTCTAAATGGAGGGGGAAGCTTCTGTGTGATCTCCCCAGCCCAATCCTCAGCTCCTATTGGCAGGAAACAACCAAACAGTATTGCCAACCTTGCTGTATAGACACAGTATCTGAACTCTAAACTGTTGCCCATCACCCTAGAGCAGGATGGGCAATAATTTTTGGTGGGGGGCCACTCCAAGATGTTGGTAAGTGGTCAAAGTCAGCACTTTTATGTGGAGAGGGTGCAGGGTCTAGGATGGAGGTTGGGTGCAGAAGGGTGCACAGGGTAAGGGACTGGGGTGCAGGAGATGCTGTGAGGTCTAAGAGGGAGTTTGGGAGAAGAAGGGGGTTGTGACCTGGGTCAGGGGATTGGGGTGTAGGATCAGGGAGGGAGTGTAGGTGCAGTAGAGGATTCTGGCCTGGGGGAGGGGCTTTAAGAGGGAGTGCAAAGTGCTGGGAGGGAGTTGTGACCTGGGGCAAGGGGGTGCAGAGGGTTTGGATGGTGACCTGGGGGAGGGGGGCAGGAGGGGCTGAGGTGCCAGAGGCAGGCTGTGGCTGGGAGGCGCTTACCTAAGTGTCTCCTGGCCAGCAGCTATGCAGCACCACCAACGCAGGATGGACTCCCTGCCCGCTGCAGCCCCAGACCACTTTAAACTGCAGGCTGTTCCTGCCAGGTGGCGCTCAGTTCCAGGAAGGGGAGAGGCTTGCACTGCCCCCATGCTCCAGGCCAATCTATCAGCTCCTATTGGCTGGTTGTTTCCAGGGTGATTACACAAAGCCTCACCCTCCCTGTAGAGCAGAGAGCCCCACGGATTGCATTTTAAAACCAAGGCAACTCTGTGCCTGAGGGTCCTAGCAGGGTGGTCCATGGGCCAGATCTGGTGGCTTGGTGGGCCACATCTGGCCCCCAGGCCATATTTTGCCCAGCTCTGCCCTAGAGTTTGGCTGTTAATGAAGAAGAGTAATAAGATTAAACAAAAAAATTGGCTGAAACCATCTCTCCAGCAGGCTTAGCTATTTAGGTGGTCCCTCCTTTCAGATCTGCTGCTGTCATGCCAGGTAGCAAGTCCCACCTTGCTTATATCCAGGTGGTAACAAATTAATCACTAACAAAGTGAGTCAACAGAACTCACTTAGTCATGGCAAGGTGTTTCAGGCAAATATGGTCATCCCATTCCACACCACTAGATAGCCCAAGTGACGTCAGTGGATTTGCAGAGGCATAATGGAGAGTAGCATTTCTCACACTCTTTAAAACTCTAAAGAATCTAAGATCACTGAATCATATTGTCACCACTAGAATCATTAGGAGTTAGCATTGGAGCAAAAGTCACAGCTCTTACTTAGCTGTTAATATCTAAAAATCTTCTGCAGAAGCTGTCCACAATCAGTATGAATTTGCAAGGTAAAATGTCCTTCTGCTGCCCTTCTCCAAATACTTCTTCATGTTTTAATACTCACTTCTTTTCGGAAATGTATCTGGGGCCAAGTCTCAGCGTTAAATTTATATCCATATACAAGCAGGTAATAGAGGTAGTTTGCTGAAAAGCAGTAGGATCTAGCATATATTTCTTCAAATTTAGGCAGTATAGATGGAAGCTGAAAAATAAAAATAAGATCAACACAATTAAGAAGGATGTGCATAAAGTACACTTCCCATCTAATTAGCACCTTCCAGAAGTTTTCACAAACATCCTAAGAAAATTATAGGCATGTAGACAGTGATTTACAGGGGACGTGACTGTGCAGGTGATATATTTTGTACTGTTAATTATATAGTAATTAAAAATAAAAGTTGCATGAAAGATAGAAATTGTAGTGACTAACCATTTCAATCTGACTCTTTAGATATGCTACAAGTGTTGGTAGTAAATTTCAGAGGCAAACCTCTTCAAGGAGATGGCACAGTCATTCTAAGTGTGTCAACAAGCATTCAGATCAAAAGGGCATACAATCATAGACTGGAGAGAGAACTGAGAACACAGGGTGAATTTGTGGCCTCAGCTATCTCAATGTATATCTGAAATGATTCCAGTGAGGTCACTTAGGATTTACTGGTGTAACTAAGATCGGAATGTGGTCTGCAGCTGATATTGCTGTAATACAGAGTTGACAAGAGGATCTGAGAAAGTATGGCAACTGGACACAAAAAATCCTTAGGTCAGATACTATCTGTGCATATTTCTGGGGTATTTTTTGGAGATAATTTTGGAGGATAATGCAGTGTTTGGGTATCCAGTCTGGTAGGAGCTTGAGTACAAAATGATGCATGAAGAATTATGATCCCCCATTCCACTTAATACTGAAAGGGGTGCTGGTGAGGGACAGATTGTTAGAGATGACAGCGAGATGACATGAAGGGTACAAGCACAGCAATCCATAAACAACTTAAAATAAGCAGAGCATCGAGCACTACTGTCTGAAAGAGCAATATGACAGGTGTCAGCATGCCCCTTTGGGGCCCAGCATGGCTTCACTGCAGCTTTTAATTTTAAGGACTGCTCTAAACTATACTCATTCTCTTGGTGACCTTGACGAAGAATAAATCTGCCTCCAGGCCCAATCTTGCTCCTATCTAAGTTAATGGAAATGTTGCCATTGATTTGATCTGGAGTAGGATGAAGTACAAAGAGTACATAGTACACTTCGTACAAAAGACAAGTCTAGTTGTTTCTGGATTTATTGTACTGAACCCTTACATCGTAACTTAAGACAATGGCTCTTATTATCCTAACTCTCTTCTCTCCTCAAAACAAACAAAAAACCTTGGAATCCTGAGTCTCTCCCTTGATATTACGTACCTCTTGCAATGGAATCATTAGAAATGACTTATGTCCTTCAGGGTAGGTACAGCACAGTATAATTTTTCCTTCCCTGCAACTACCAGCAACACAGAGCAGACACCTACATGACATTTTGGGGGCCACTCAGACCAGCAAAAGGATTCTGACATTGCCTTCCCTGTAACTTTTGGTGCCCTCATGCAGCTTTGAGTCACACCCCTGACACCAGTAGCTTACCCACAAGCTTCCACCAATCTAGTTACCCCTCGCAGGGTGATAGCAAGAGCCCTGCCAATCTCAAGTCTCCCCACATCCATCCTTCCCAGCGTCTTAATTACCATGCACTCAGGACTTTTGCCCTCTGGTTCATCTCCCAAAAAGTGTGAAGCCAGTCTCTCCTCCCCCTCTTCCTGCCCTAAGCACCAGCTTACTTTGGCACAAATACTCTGCGCACCAGAGACCAGCCTGTGGTAAAAATTAATGAAAGGAGTATTTACTAGAAAAGCCACAAATTCAAAGGTGGAATAGCAAGGGAGAGCAAATATACACAAGTTAGACAAAGACAGAACCCGATAAAATCCCATTTCTAATACAAGTTACTATTGCGTTTGTGGGATACCCCAACACGACTTCTACCCATAGGGCAGATCCCAGCATTTCACACAGAACCTGAACCAAGTGACTATCCCTCTGTTTCTGGATGTTTTTCACTTCAACTCCCTTCCATTTTAGCAGGGTTTTTTTTGTTTCATCCTTTAGTTACTACAGACATTTGTGCTAATCTGAAGAAGCGGTTTTTGTCCACGAAAGCTCACAATACCATCTATAGTTTTTGTTAGTCTCTAAGGTGCTGCAAGACTATTTGTTGTTTTAAAAGTTATTTTGAAATAGTTATTTTCAAATAGCGTTAGGATGGAGGCTCCACTGCTGCTATTTCAAAATAACTACTTCGCAATCATTCAAAGTAATTACTCCCCAGTGCTTCCTGGGGCTCTAAGTCGAGGTAGCACATCCACATTAAGGGAGCCTGCCTCAGACTAATTTCAAGGCTTCCCTGTAGTGTTGAGATACTATTTTGAAATGAGTTATTTTAAAATAACTCCCAAAATAACTATTTTGAAATAATTTCCTAGTATAGACAAGGGTATGTCTACACTACCCCGCTAGTTCGAACTAGCGGGGTAATGTAGGCATACCGCAATTGCAAATGAAGCCCGGGATTTGAATTTCCCGGGCTTCATTTGCATAAGCGGGGCGCCGCCATTTTTAAATCCCCGCTCGTTCGAACCCCGTGCCGCGCGGCTACACGCGGCACGAACTAGGTAGTTCGAACTAGGCTTCCTAGTTTGAACTACCGTTACTCCTCGTGGCCTAAGGTGCCACGGGACTACTTGCTTTTAAAGTTACAGACTAACACGGCCACCCCTCTGAGACTATAGATATTTGGTTTCCCCACTTTAACTTTCCATTAACTCCAAAGGCATGTCCACAACAGGAAACAATAACTCCTGAAATAACTATTTCAAAATAAGTTTATTCCCCAAGGAAAGCAGGAGTTGTTATTTTGAAATAACCAGCCCCTTATTTGAAATAACAGGCTTGGTAGTGTGGCTACTCTGCTTGTTATTTCAGAATAAGGGAGGTTATTTCAAAATAACTCCCTAGTGCAGACCATAGCTAAGAGTGAGGTAAGGCTGCAGTTGCACCACAGTTACAATGATAACTGTCTACATGTACATGTGCATATATTTATAATAATCACAGTTGCCATGCATAGCTCACAGTAGTCATCAACTGCAGAGCACTACAAGTCTTCATAGAAGACCTTACTCAAAATATTTGTGTAGTACAACATTATTGATTTAACTGCTTATTTTTTGTGGTTTAAATCTTCTGTTTGTTGTTCCCTTGGGATGAATGATTGTGATTATTGCAACCAAATTAAAGAGCAAATACTGAAACATAGACTAGTTAGTGTATAAGTGATACTGCATTTTTTTTAAATCCCTTCTGCTTGCCAGTAAATACTGTTCAAGAGATAGTACTGATTTTAGACAGTGCCAGGGAGGGAGGCTTCAATTAGGCTACATCTGCACTTAGAACTGGGAGGTGGAATTCCTAGTTATGTCCAACCTAATTTTTTGAGGTTTACAGGATCTTTCAAAAAAGCGCCCCGTTTTTTAAAGAACCGTGTCTAGACTGCGGTTTCAATTTCAAAATAGCGCTTTCGAAAGAGCACCATTACGTGATTACGCAAATGAAGCACGGGATATTTAAATCCTGGCTTCATTTGCACTTTTGAAGTGTTTCATTTACAACCCTCTGCCGACAGAGGGATGTAGTCTAGACATAGCCTAAGGGTCCTATATCAGGGATCAGGAAACTTTCCAAAGTGGTGTGGCAAGATTTAACCCCCCTACCCTGGGCTATGATGCTCTCTCAGGGTGGGAGGGGCTCTCTTCACTGTGTGCCTGTGGAACACCTGGGTCAATGCAAACCGTCCCATGGACCACCAGTTGCTAATGGAAACTCATCGTTAATCACATAATTATGCCCAAGCCATTTTGCTAGTGCAGCAGCTGGGGAGAATGGTTTAATTTAAATTATTAAACAGGTTAAGCATTTTAACTTTCTCGTGTTAGTTTATCAAACTTCATTTTAAATAAAGTAAAATATGATGTCCAACTCAAAAGCTTTCAATGTTTTCTTTATTTATGGCAGGTGTGGGGAACCTTTTTTGGGTACAGGGTCACTGACCCATAGAAAAATCAGTTGGGGGCCACACAAGTGAGAAGCAAAAAAACTCCTCCCAAAACCCCCAACCCTCACTGATATGGCCCTGACTGAGTCACCTCAGTCTTCTGGCGCTGCAGCCCCCAGGGGGTGAGGGGAAGGGACAGGGAGGAATGAGGTTCAGGGCTTCCCATAGGCCAGATTTACTTCTCTGGGGTTCCAGAGTTAGTGGATTTTGTGGACCCCTTAGGCTCTGGAGTGTGAACAAAAATGAGGGGCTCACTCTGCGGTACAGCACTGCCATCAAGTGGGATAGAGATGTAGGATTTGGGTGGGAGGTGGGGTGCAGGATGGGGTGAGGAGGGCGGAGTCTGTCAGGGTATGTCTACACTACCCCGCTAGTTCGAACTAGCGGGGTAATGTAGGCATACCGCACTTGCAAATGAAGCCCGGGATTTGAATTTCCCAGGCTTCATTTGCATAAGCGGGGAGCCACCATTTTTAAAACCCCGCTGGTTCGAACCCCGTGCAGCGCCCATGAAAGCTCATGATACCATCTACATGTTTGTTAGTCTATAAAGTGCTACCAGACCATTTGCTTGCTGTTTTTTTTCCTGCAGAATCTGGCAACCCTGAATGTGGGAAACAGCAAACAAAATGTCTCATGAGCTACACATAGAACCCTGATGGAAAAGAGGTTGCCTACCACTGGTAGAAAGGATCCTGAGTACAGATGGCTGTCAAGCCCTTTGGGGTTTTTTTCTGGCAAAAAATATGATCCATTTGCTATGGTGTGACATGACAGGTGCACAAGACTCACAGAATGAAACAGAAAACATATGCATTTTGTCTTGTTCCTTGTTTCATGAACTTGGGCCACAGTTTAAGCACTCTATAATTATTTTAGAGTTTGAAGTGCATTTGAAACTCATAGAAAAGGAAGGCAAGAATTCACATGAACCTTTCAAAAAATTATTCATATGAATCCCTGTGAATTGATGTGACCCAATTACCCATAGTTCTGCGTGACTGCTCCTTGATCTCTCCCCTTTCCAAAAGCAGAAAATTCATACTGACCTGATTCCAGCTCCGTGAGCAGAAAAACCACATGCTTGAATTAAAATCAGCTAGGGGAAAGTGTCCAGTTAAATTCAAAGCATTGGCTGTATAGTAGAATCCTGAAAATGCCTATAAATAAAACCAGATGAAAGGCACTTTATTCTCAGGATCTATGCAAATCAGAGATAGGTAAGAAATGCTGCAAAAAGGAACATTGTGCTTTTAGACTTACCACAAAGTTCCCTTTAAGTTTTGGCTGTTGGACTCCATTGAATGAACAATCTTCCCCCTTGTCGTTGCAAGCAGTGAAGTTAAACAATAAGGACACCTGCTCCCGGCACAGAGCTGGATTTCCAGTTCCCCTGAAATTTATGAGCTGTCCTGGGTTGTAATTTGTGGGTCTTACAGGTTCTGTGCAAAAGCTTCCATACAAGTGTTTCATTGTTATGACAGTTTCATAATCCTGAGGATAGCATGGATTATCAACTTTGGCCTTGTCTCTTGAATTCTGAGGGAGACAGTAAAGTTTGTCTTAACAGGAAAGCTTTTAATTTCACATTAATAGTATTTTAACCTTGTAAGTTTATATTCTCCCTATTTGCTTCACTGTCATAACATGTATAGTATGATTTAATGACCATTATTAAACAAATCCTAGCTCACAGAATGCACTGGTGCAGTAAAGCAAAGATTCATAAATCTAGTTTAATCTCTTAGCCGAATATATTTTGTGAAACTCTACAAAAAACACAAGACATTCATCATTAATACTCCATCATATATTAAAATGAGGCCATAGGTTTGTAACAAGGATTTCTCTCTTCCCTCACCATTTTTCCCTCCATTTTCACCAATCTCTTTCATCTCCTTTGGAGAATGTCCGAGTGGCTTGATTTATATATTCTTCACAGTGTTGCTCCTAAGATGGAATGGTCTGGATTCCCAAGTGAATGGGCTCCAGAAAAGCTGACAAGCAAAATAAAATATCCATTTTCCTACTGGTGCTGCCTTGCGGGGTTCTCCTCACCCTGCTCAAACAGAGTAATAGGGATTGCAGGGCATCCTCACCAGGAAAAAGGCTGTGGTGAATTGACATACTCTGACCTAACCTCAACCCATTTTTCTTAGTGTAGACATAACCCAGGAGGGTCTTGTTGGGTGTCTGACATGCTCTTCTATCCGGAATTTTGTTCCCCAAAGTTAGCAGAATCCTCAAGATCTCTAGGTCATGTACCCAGGATCTTTGCAGGTCAGGGCCATTTCAGCAGAGGAACTAGTTTCTTGATCACTCCTTTTCCATCCTGTATGCTGAACAGTACAGCTTTCCACTACGCCTAGGAGGACCCATGATGGGGCTAGCACAGGAGGGGAGAAAGGTGGAGTGATGAAAGTGTGTATCCTCCTTTGAGCGGTGCCTCCTGCCCATGTATTACCAATTTAGATGTTAAATTTAGATGAATTAACTAATCAAGTATCGACTATTTGATTTGTCTATAAGGGGCACTTCTGCTTTTGAGCCCTAACGGGCTCTTGCTACAGTTCAAAAGCAGAAGCCCCACAGGGAGCATGGGGCCAGCGGGGGACTGGCTCTGTGCTTCCTGCAGCGCCTCAGCCTTTGAAATGTACAAGAGTCCCTCTGGGAGCACGGGTCCAATGGGGGAGTGCCACGATCCCTGCGGAGTTTCTGCTTTAGAAGCTCCACAGGGGCTCTTGTACATTTCAAAAGCAGAATTGCAGCAGAAGCAGCACAAGCGGAGATTGCTTTGGTCCCCGCTCACGCCTTTTCTCACTGTGCCTCAACCTCCTCTGTCCCCCACAGGGATAGTGCTTGGAGAACCAGCTTTTAAGCCAGCTCCCCGCGGCACTGGCTCATGCTCCCCACCCTTGCTGCCTCTCTCTGATAGAGGCAGCAAGGGTGGGAGTGGGGGAGGAAGCTTATGCTTATCGGATAGTCGACTAATCGCTTACATCCCTATTGCCAACCACAAAGAGGAGCTTCTGCATGCTCCAGGGTAAAGGAGCTAGGAGCCTGGAGAGGCAGTGCTCCATTTTCCCTAAACCTCAGACAGAGATCTTTGATGGGGAGGACAAGAAATAAAAGGAGGGGGGAAGCAATATTCAATTTAGGTACATGTATAAAATGAGTCCAATGTGTTTTGCATCGCATTTAACATAATGGGGCCCAAACTCAGGTCTCTAGGCTCTACTGCAAGAAGAACTTAAGGCAGAAGAGAGAACACGTTCAGAGAGTTACTGAATACAATCCAAACAACAGAGTCCCTGAATGTACCTGCACTAGTGAGGCTAAGAACCTTTTCTCTGCTTCGTCTCTTCCATAACACGGGAAGCTGTGAGTGTACACATTGTATTCATAGCCATACAGCTGCACTTGTAACGTGCTGCTGGAGTTCTGCGAACACTCCTCTGGGACAAAGGATATTTGAGTGGAGGCTCCTCCTAGATCAAGCGCACCCGTGGTCTCTGCTCCATGAGGACGGACCCATGTCCTCCAAAGGGTTTTCTAAAAATTAAACAGGTAGGTATGAAATACCATCTACTTCTCTATGTTCTTTCAAGCTTTTTCATTCATTTGCTTTTAAGCCAACAATAGCGTAAAACAAACCACTCAAGAAAAGCTCTCTTGTGTGTAAGCATTGTCTGCTTAGGTTTTGTAGATTAGGGTGATTTTTTTTACAAAGGGAAATGAAGAGGAAGAATGAAGGAAAGGGTCAACACTACTAAAACTCAGAGGTATGATTTAGCATTCATAGCTCCGGCCTGGCAGCCTTTAATCCTAGTTCTGATACTGCCTTTGTACATGAGCTTGGGCAGATCACTTAGTCCTTCTGCATATGTAAAACAGAGATAATATTCACTTATCTTCCTAACAAAGGTATATAAAGGTATATAAAGATAACACTTTAATAAAGGATAAATTAAACATTAAAAGGTCTGAAATGGTTAAGAACAAAGTTGGTTAAGCTGTCAGGAAATTTTCCATCAAAACACTTTTTTTCAAAATGAAAAATGACATTTTCCTCAAAATTAGAACATTTTTGAAAAAAAAAAATCTTTTCACCAAATTTAGTTTAGAAAAAAACCCCAAATGTATCAATATTGTCAAAATCTATCCAGTTTTGATGTTTCAGAATGAATTGTTTTGCTTTTTTTATTTTGAAAAAAAACCTTTCAAAATAAAATTCATGATTTTTTACATGAAAAAACACTAAAAGTTGAAAAGGGTAGAAAATGGAAACTCATGTTTAAATTTTATCAAAGGGTTCTTATAAACCCAAACACATTTATTACATTGCCATTATTTTTTAAAAATATTTTTTTGTTCAGTTTCTGAATAGAAATTTTGAAACCATGCAATTCCCTGGGACACAGAAAATCAGATTTCTGCCCAGTAGCTAGAGAGAGCCAGCTCCTCAGTTAAATGCTTGGCTGAAGTCAATGGAGCGATTGCAATTTACACCAGCTGAGGATCTGTCCAAGAGCTTCTCTGAAGGTTTTTATATTTTAAAAACCATTCCTATTATCTTAGGCCTATAAGCAAGGTCCATTTATCTAGAGGTTTTCAGTTTGAAAAGTTATCCGGATTTTTCTAGATACCTATCAGCCAGTCGTTTTATACAAACAAAGGAAAACGGCTGTAGGATTTGCATGTCATCAAAAGCAAAGTATGCACCATCCACTGATTTCTTTTAATACTGTCATTTATTGAAGGAGTTTTCATTCTGTGCAGGTATGTGTTGTGATGTAATGGGAGATGTGAGAGAGGACTGAATGCTCTAGCAAACATCTGTAGACAATCCCTATGCAGAAGTGGGCAATAAATGTTTTTGGAGGGCAGGGGGACACTGCAAGATTTTGGAAAGTGGTCAAGGGCCTCACTTTTCTATGGAGGTGGTGCAGGCTCTGGGATGGAGATTGGGTGCGGAAGGGAGTTCACGGTATGAATTGGGCTACAAGCTTTACTAGGATAATTTCAAATATTTTGGAGAGTAAACATCTGTAATTAATACAACTGTGCACTGAAGATCACTGTGGTAAAGCTAATTCCACGCACACAATTGAGTTAGGCCTGATCTATACACAAATTTCATACCAGTATAACTATGTCAGTTAAGGATGGTATTTTTTACCAAGATAGTTATACTGATATAACCCCTAGTATGAATGCAACTATGCTGTTACAAAGAAGCCAGATATTAGTTTAATTTTATCTCCTTTCCTACACAGGAGTAGCTCTACTGCTATAATAATCTATTAGGAATGTAAAGGGTAACCAGTTACACGGTAAGTATCACTCAGTAAGCTCCAGCACAGCCGTGCCATGGGAAGGGTCTGTACCATGGTTAACCAATTAAACATAGGCTGTGTCTACACTGGGCCACTTATTCCGGAAAATCAGCCGCTTTTCCGGAATAAGCTGCGAGCTGTCTACACTGGCCCTTGAATTTCCGGAAAAGCAACGATGCTCTACTGTACAAAATCAGCTGCTATTCCGGAAAAACTATTCTGCTCCCGCTCGGGCATAAGTCCTTATTCCGGAACACGGTTCCGGAAAAGGGCCAGTGTAGACAGCCCAGTAGTCTTTTCCGGAAAAAAGCCCCGATCGCGAAAATGGCGATCGGGGCTCTTTTCCGGAAAAGCGCATCTACATTGGCCACAGACGCTTTTCTGGAAAAAGGGCTTTTCCGGAAAAGCAGCCTGCCAATGTAGACGCTCCTTTTCCAGAAAAACTGAAAATGGAATAGTATTCCGTTTTAAGCATTTCCGGAAATTCATGCCAGTGTAGACACAGCCATAGTATTTAACTGGTTAACTTTTTTAAAGACCATTTACATCCCTATCATACACAGTGGCATAGCTGCAATCACATACTACCATAGCTGTACCGACATAGATAAAATGGTTCAAATAAAAGCATTAGGATGGAAGATAAAGTCCGAGATGTGACTGACAAAATCCAGGAAGCATGACTTTTCTAGTTCAGACACACAGAGAGGATGAAAAAGGAGGACCCAGTGAAGATCACATGGCAGGAAAGAGATCGTGAGGAAAGCTGAGGATGTGATTAATTGAACTTAAGAAGACGATAAACAGGTGGACCTTAGGGCTGCCTGAAACTGACGAAGCTGGAGAATGTTTGCACAATGATCCAGACCCTGATGATGGGATATGGGGAAGAAGAAGCAGCAATACACATTGTGCTTAGGACTAAGCATTAGATTTGCCATTTAGACAAGAATCTTATTTTTGTTTCTTGTTAAGAGTTCTATCTCGGCCATTAATATGCCTTTTAAATATTTCCAGTGTTCCTAGTTAAGATAAACACTCTATTCATTTTATTCTCTATGGACCAAAAGCTTGTCTGTGATCTACTTTTGGCTCCACATTTCTTAACATGCATCTCCTCCAAAACTTGGGATTCATAAGCAACAGTATAAAATAAAAAAAACATGCAGTTTTTTCCACACACCTCCAAGAAATTGCCCATTAAATAGTTGGCTGTAATCCATCCATACACCCCTTCCTCTTGCCCAGTTATGATTTGAGCACCCCTAAATTCAAAGGGCTGGGAGCTGAAGTAGTTTTGAATGCTCTCAAGGACTTCATTGGCTGTCGTTTCATTTTGTGACCTAAGCAATTCACAAAACACAAAATGCTGAGCATCTGGAAAAACAAGTTTACCTTTATTATTTTATCAACCTAGTGACTTAAAGGAATGCCCATGATTTCCTACTGACAATCTGAGTCCGTTTTGATCGGAGGGACAGCCTTTAATAAGGAACATCCAAATTAAATGTACAGCCAGTTTTAGCAAGCACAACTGGCTTAAAACAACTCTGACGGTGGTAGAACATCAAACTGTGGACATGTCTACTCTGCAGCTGGAAGGTATAATTTTCAGCTCAAGCAGACACAACTTCAGTAGCTCCAGTCAAGCTAGTGTGCTAAAAATAGGAGTGTAGACTTGTACAATCCCATCTGAGACCCTGAGGTACTTACTGGGATGGTTAACTTTTCTCACCCCTGTGGCCACACTTCTATTTTTAGCACGTTAGCTCAGTGAGAGCTGGTGCAGGTGTGTCTACTTAAGCAGGAAATTACATTTTCCGGCTGCAGGGTAGACGGGCCTATGTCCAATGCTTGCCATGTTTACACAATGAGCACCTGAGTATTTTGTTCCTTATATAAGATTGTACTTAGTGAACTGAGTGTCTATGTGAAAGATGCTGGTTTAACTGTTAGAGACTTGAGCCTTTTCTTTAGCCATAGAGCCAGATACAGCACAGGAAACAGCAATGCAAATTTCCCCACATTAATGTGTCCCAAACCTGTTCTGGACGAATCATCTCCAGTGATGATACGGTAGAGTTTTCAGGCCCATTCAAGCTATAACTAAAATGGAGAACAAAAAATCCAGCTGGTGCCAGTCTCAAAAGTGCTATGAATGGATATAGTGCATTTAGTACCCTCTCACCTCATACAACTTTGGTTTCCAGATGAATTACACCATCTATGAATTTGGGTTTCCTAACCTCAAATATTTTTTATTTACTCGGCAGCAGTTGACCCCACATGCTGAGGACAGAAATTTAGACCTCACACTGCTGTAGTGCAAACCAAGCAAATATTTCTTTTATAATACAGTAAAACAATATGGTAAAAGAAAAGCAGAGCTGCTTAAAAATTAGACCAAAAGTTCCAAACCTTTAATTTTACTTGCTGGATTGGATTTTCTTTTGAGACAGATCAAAATTCCTGGCAAACACAGAACTGTCTAATACATTTTTCCAGATTAGTTTCATATGCTGCTGTTCTATTTACATATATTACATGTACTGAGGGGTTTTTGGTTCATACCTCAGTAATCGCATTCCAGCTGTAGCTCCCAGATATGTTGGGGTATTTTTATGCAAGTGAGATGGAATTTTCTCCTTTACTTTATTCATGCAGTTGTCAATGGGTTTGACCATTTCTTGAGGGTTATTCCCATAGCTGGATATACCCGGGCCTTAAAAGAAAAGAAAAAAAAAAAAAAAAAGGTGACTGATTTCATTTGCCTTGTCACCTAGCAACAGAAATCAGAAGAAACAGTTCCCCTTTTTTAATATTCCATTTCAAAAAGATGTTTTACCTTTAAACCAGAACTTAATTTACAAATCTTAATTATTAAAAGAATATTCATGAACATGCTTTGGAGTCTTATACAGGGCATTTGACAACTCCACCTCCCCTCACTGCCATCCTTCCAACTTGTACATAAGCACAAATTGACAGCAGTGCCACATTAATGGGAAAAATATATTATATGTGGCAGGAACTGCAGAAAAACCCACATACTGGATGGAAAATAACTCTTGAATTACAAAAATTATAGAAAACTCCATCCCTGTGTGACCTACATCATGTGGACTACATCTAACGAACTGGCATATGTCAGTCCAAATCTGGAAGTAGCATCCTATTGATAGCTAACTAGTGACTTGTGAGCTTCAATTTGACCTTTATTTGGACTTAGTGGCAGTATGGTCCACTGGACAGAGACCTAGACTAGGAATCAAGCAACCAGGCAGACACAGGAATAGACCCCCAACAACCTCCTAAATTACTTTTGCCAAGTCATTTCCCTTTTTTTTCGTCTCGGTCTCCCTCTCTGTATAATAGGGATGTTAAATTTTGATTAATCAGCTAATTGAGTAGTTGATGGAATTTCCATTGACTACTCGATTAGTCGGTAAGGGGGGCACTCGCTATTCCACTGTGTCTCTCCCTTTGGAATGTACAAGAGTCGCCCACGGCTCTTATATATTTCCAAGGGAGAGAGGCAGAGGGAACCCGTGTCAGCAGAGAGCAAAGCAGTCCCCACTGGTAGGGGTTCCCCTCTGTGCCTCTTCTTTTGAAATGTACAAGAGGCACAGGCTGCTCTTGTACATTCCAAAGGGAGAGGAGTAGCAGTGGGACCGGCACAAGCAGGACTGTTTCAAGCCCCACTCCCACCATTTCCCTGCTGCCCCCTGCTTTCCCTGCCCCCCGCGGAGATATTGCTGGGGGAGGAAGGCTTTTAAGCCAGCTCCCCCCAGCACCAGCTCATGCTCCCCCCACGCCTTGCTGCCTCTCTCTGATAGAGACAGAAAGGCAGGGGGAAGCGACTAATCAAGTTTCTACCCAACTACCTGATACGTATTTGCTTATCAGGTAGTCGACTAGTTGCTTACATCCCTAATCTTTACCTAAGAGGCTCGTGATCAAATCCAGACTCCAAAGTAGGCATGCTAGCTCAGAAACCATCTGGAATAAGGATGTAACCCTACAGCTGTGGTCCTTAGAAGCAATGGAACTGTCAATTACAAATATGAGACTAGTGGAAGCAAGTGACAGCCTTCTAAGCGCTGGCCCCCAGCTAAAAACACACAAGAATAAAGACAGACTACAGACCAGACTGCATCTAGAATGAAATGCAAGCTTCTTCACTGTAGCTTTCCAATAGCACCACTACATTAATCAGAATAATAAAAAGGAAAACAAAAATGCCCATAAAGCAAATAACCAATCTCAACCACAAGGTTGCGGGTAGGACAAGGGAGGAGATGAACAGGGGAATGAGAAGAGAGATGATCTACTATTAAAGGATAGCCCTGAGTCTCCAACACCTTGTTGTTATCTGAACCTCTGCATTATCCAAATTTCATCCTTGTCATTGCAGGGGCACAAGAGCAAAGAGACCCTCTGCTGCGGGGTGGGCCATCTTGCTGCTGAATAGCTCCTGTGGCAGTGCAGGAAGACCTGTGCCACTCCACTGTTTGGGTCAGATTGTGACTGTGAAGCTCCAGAGGGTCAGCCAATTCCTGTGGGTGTTAGGTGCAGGGGAGGCTGCAGTCTTGGTGGGGCAGATCCCAGTCCTGGCCTGGGGTCTCTGCCTTTCTCCACAGCTTTGCACCTGCAACATTTGAAAGGGCAGGTATATTGGCACAGCTCCCTTGGGCTGGAAACGCCAAACTGGAGCCAATGGGAGCTGTGAGGTTCCGTGGCTATGGACCCTTTAGGTAAACAAAGTGGTGCAGGCCCACTAATGGCTTTCCCAAAGTGGGCCTGTGGCTCACTTTGAGAAACACTGGACTAGATGGTCATAAGAGTCCCTCTTGCCTTCTAATTTAGGGCTCTCCCCTATGTATCTCTGCAAACACACTAACACGCTAAACTGCAACAGCTGTTATTCCACTCCTTGTCCTCTCCTGAACACATTGTGCTAGGTGCATGCCTAACCTGTTGGCTCTGTGAGATACAGACATGTCCACTAGGTGAAACACTTAGCCAAATTTGAACTTAGAAAAATGTAAAGGGAATGTGTGACTGGTGAAGAAGAATAGAGCTTTTTCCTTCAAGATCACATGTCAAACTGACCCAGATTAGCAATATTCAAAAGTTACTATCTGCTGGCTGTTCAATGCCCCATGTGAAATTAATCCAATCCTGTTCTTAGAGGATCAATATTCTCCGTCTCCAAACCATAATCCCAACTAGAACCCTTCCTGGCAGTTTCAGAAGCAAGACCCAGGAATCAATGACCATAAAAAATAAATTCTCCTCTCACCACTAGTGGCTTTCTCTTCAGTTAAGAGATTGATAGGGAAAGGGGAGGGGGAGAAAGCTTGTACTAATGCTTCCCATGCGCTTGTATCTGTTCTTTAGCTAGAGAACTTGGGTCTTCAGGATCCTCAGTCTAGCATCACTCACAAAGAACTAGAGTTACTTATAACAAAAATGTAAAAAAACCATTAAAGTACTCGAGATTTCCAGAAAGGCAAAGCAAATAACATGCCAACCTGCTAGCACAACTATTTTGCTTCCACTGAAATCAACTACAAAACTCCAACAGAAGTTGAGCCCCTAGTACTTTCGAAGAGTTTTTATTTTAAATTATTTTTACATGAAACAGCCTTTTCAAAGATACTAGAAGCACTAGATGTTGAAGGGTCAGATTGACCGGTACAATCTGGCCCCTTTGTGTCATTCAGGCAGTAGAGAGACACTAGATTCTGCCCATAAATGGTCTCCAGAGCATTTCTTTCACAAGAACTCTGCGGATGTCAGCCCAGTGGAAGTTCCCACTCCAGTTGTCCCACTCCACTAGAGTGGAAGAGTCATGCCGGGGAAATAGCACAGGCTGCTCTTGTACATTCCAAAGGGAGAGGAGTAGCAGTGGGACCGGCACAAGCAGGACTGTTTCAAGCCCCACTCCCACCATTTCCCTGCTGCCCCCTGCTTTCCCTGCCCCCCGCGGAGATATTGCTGGGGGAGGAAGGCTTTTAAGCCAGCTCCCCCCAGCACCAGCTCATGCTCCCCCCACGCCTTGCTGCCTCTCTCTGATAGAGACAGAAAGGCAGGGGGAAGCGACTAATCAAGTTTCTACCCAACTACCTGATACGTATTTGCTTATCAGGTAGTCGACTAGTTGCTTACATCCCTAATCTTTACCTAAGAGGCTCGTGATCAAATCCAGACTCCAAAGTAGGCATGCTAGCTCAGAAACCATCTGGAATAAGGATGTAACCCTACAGCTGTGGTCCTTAGAAGCAATGGAACTGTCAATTACAAATATGAGACTAGTGGAAGCAAGTGACAGCCTTCTAAGCGCTGGCCCCCAGCTAAAAACACACAAGAATAAAGACAGACTACAGACCAGACTGCATCTAGAATGAAATGCAAGCTTCTTCACTGTAGCTTTCCAATAGCACCACTACATTAATCAGAATAATAAAAAGGAAAACAAAAATGCCCATAAAGCAAATAACCAATCTCAACCACAAGGTTGCGGGTAGGACAAGGGAGGAGATGAACAGGGGAATGAGAAGAGAGATGATCTACTATTAAAGGATAGCCCTGAGTCTCCAACACCTTGTTGTTATCTGAACCTCTGCATTATCCAAATTTCATCCTTGTCATTGCAGGGGCACAAGAGCAAAGAGACCCTCTGCTGCGGGGTGGGCCATCTTGCTGCTGAATAGCTCCTGTGGCAGTGCAGGAAGACCTGTGCCACTCCACTGTTTGGGTCAGATTGTGACTGTGAAGCTCCAGAGGGTCAGCCAATTCCTGTGGGTGTTAGGTGCAGGGGAGGCTGCAGTCTTGGTGGGGCAGATCCCAGTCCTGGCCTGGGGTCTCTGCCTTTCTCCACAGCTTTGCACCTGCAACATTTGAAAGGGCAGGTATATTGGCACAGCTCCCTTGGGCTGGAAACGCCAAACTGGAGCCAATGGGAGCTGTGAGGTTCCGTGGCTATGGACCCTTTAGGTAAACAAAGTGGTGCAGGCCCACTAATGGCTTTCCCAAAGTGGGCCTGTGGCTCACTTTGAGAAACACTGGACTAGATGGTCATAAGAGTCCCTCTTGCCTTCTAATTTAGGGCTCTCCCCTATGTATCTCTGCAAACACACTAACACGCTAAACTGCAACAGCTGTTATTCCACTCCTTGTCCTCTCCTGAACACATTGTGCTAGGTGCATGCCTAACCTGTTGGCTCTGTGAGATACAGACATGTCCACTAGGTGAAACACTTAGCCAAATTTGAACTTAGAAAAATGTAAAGGGAATGTGTGACTGGTGAAGAAGAATAGAGCTTTTTCCTTCAAGATCACATGTCAAACTGACCCAGATTAGCAATATTCAAAAGTTACTATCTGCTGGCTGTTCAATGCCCCATGTGAAATTAATCCAATCCTGTTCTTAGAGGATCAATATTCTCCGTCTCCAAACCATAATCCCAACTAGAACCCTTCCTGGCAGTTTCAGAAGCAAGACCCAGGAATCAATGACCATAAAAAATAAATTCTCCTCTCACCACTAGTGGCTTTCTCTTCAGTTAAGAGATTGATAGGGAAAGGGGAGGGGGAGAAAGCTTGTACTAATGCTTCCCATGCGCTTGTATCTGTTCTTTAGCTAGAGAACTTGGGTCTTCAGGATCCTCAGTCTAGCATCACTCACAAAGAACTAGAGTTACTTATAACAAAAATGTAAAAAAACCATTAAAGTACTCGAGATTTCCAGAAAGGCAAAGCAAATAACATGCCAACCTGCTAGCACAACTATTTTGCTTCCACTGAAATCAACTACAAAACTCCAACAGAAGTTGAGCCCCTAGTACTTTCGAAGAGTTTTTATTTTAAATTATTTTTACATGAAACAGCCTTTTCAAAGATACTAGAAGCACTAGATGTTGAAGGGTCAGATTGACCGGTACAATCTGGCCCCTTTGTGTCATTCAGGCAGTAGAGAGACACTAGATTCTGCCCATAAATGGTCTCCAGAGCATTTCTTTCACAAGAACTCTGCGGATGTCAGCCCGGTGGAAGTTCCCACTCCAGTTGTCCCACTCCACTAGAGTGGAAGAGTCATGCCGGGGAAATAGGAAGCGTGCGAAGGGAAAATCCCTGAAGAAGCATTGCTCCACTAGCATAAGTAAAAGTATCCCACAGATAACACAAACTACCACTAGCACTGGCTGGCCCAGAATAAGGGATTAATAACTTTTTTGGCATTGCACTACTGTTTCCAAATCCTCATTTGATTCTCACCTTTCACACTGCACTTGAAGGTCTGGCTTACTATTCCCGTATCATTTTCTTTTTCTGCTGGCCATTCATACACATAGACTGTAGTCCGAGATGATCCGGCATCAAGCACTATCCCATACTGGAAAAGAAGAGTTGCAATTGAAAAATCTAAAATTGGTCATCTTTTTGTTTTTTTAAAAAAGAAACACAAAGTTTTCAGTACCTGTCATTATGCTGCACATGTACTTAAACGCCAAAGGAATGCTTTGACGTATACTGGAGCCATTAACTAAAGACATCAGGTACTTGGACAATCTGCATGAATCAGGTCACAAGTCTAGGAAGGATTGCTAATGAAAGGATTCCTAATGAAAAACTGGTTCGTAGTCTATCTTAGCATCTCTGCATCTGGCGCTGTGGAAATTGAGAGTGATCAACACTTTCAGACATATTTAACATGGGCTATGTCTAGACTGTAGGCTTATTTCGGAAGAAGCTTTTCCAGAAGAGATCTTCCGGAAAAGCTTATTTTGAAAGAGAGTGTCCATATTGCCAAAGCACATAAAAAAAGTGATCTACTTTTTCAAAAGATAGCGTCCACATTGATTGGATGATAGCTCGCATTTAAGTTGTGATTACTATGGATGGAGTGGCCACCAGTGCACCTGTGCTTTTTCCTGGAGGCCTCTTCTTTCAAAAGAAATCCCCTCTTCCCTGTCCAGACATGCCTTTTTTTTTTTTTTGAAAGAGCTCTTTTGGAAAAAGGCTTCTTCCTCATAGAAAGAGGTTTACTACTGTAAGAAAAACTCTGCGTTCTCTCAACTTTCTGTCAAAAGAATGCAATTGCAGTGTGAACGTCAGTAGTTTTTCCGGAAAAATGGTCGTTTTTCTGGAAAAACCCTGCAGTGTAGACATACCCATGCTTAGTAAAAGGCCTGAGCTTGCGAAGTGTTGATTACCTTCAGCTCTTTCTGAAGTCAATGGACACTGGAGGCATTCAGCATCTTCCAAGGGCAGGTTTTTGTGTTCCCTGTTGTGTTCTCCATAGGAAACAAACACACTACAACTTGGAAATTGTAGTTCAGATCAAAATAGCTAGGTGAATCAGAATGCTACAGAGGCTGAAAAGCGAAATGCCATATCAGGAAGGCTTCTGCTTTTTCCCGCAGCCCTCATAGCTGCAAATCACTTCTTTTGATTAACCAAATATTGTCAACTTCAAACTTACTAGCAAACAAAGTCATTCTTGCTGGTTTTGAAGCATTTATAGGAAATGAGTAGTTAACTTTAATGTAGCACAGTACCCTGGCATTTCTTTAGCTCTATTGTTTAGCACAGCATTATTTTAATGTGGAGCACTGTCTGACTGCTCCAGTTTATCCAAAGGTTGTATAAGGAACGTGCTTCCTCTGTGCTCATATAAGCAGATTACAGAATTGGGGAAAATGAACAAATATATATATATATATATA